ACTTTGAAAAGACAGTACTCAGGATGGAGTGAGAAGCTCATTCCTAGGCAATGCGAAGTATTATATGATGTGCGCACATATCAAATCCACATCTTTTGTATTTTATTGTTTCGCACCAAATCTCGCCATCATCTCTGTAAGTGCAAAAGCACAATGTTTGTCCTTTAATTTGATACAAAATATACCTAAAGACTTGCTATCTTTGGACTTTAATGAAACTGACTTGTGTAATGAACAAATCAAGAGCATCATAAGTATGGCTTTAAAGTTAAAAAAAATAGAATAAACAGTGACGGGATAAAAAGAATATCAAGGGGTGTGTGCTATCATAATTAGTTTCAGTATCTTAAGTGCCAGTTTCTGGCAGGCACTAAATATCCATATACACTTATGCACACACACACACACACACACACACACACACACACATAGCTGATAAAAATACCTGAGGAGTGTAATGCTTATTTTTTTGTGTGTATATCTTTGCAATCTATTTTATATACAGTGACACAAGAGACTGAAATATTTAGTCATGCAAAGTGTGTGACCAGACCAGAGCATGTGCAGGAAGACTTCTAATCACTAACTCTACCCTGAAATGAGGGGCTACAATTTATAATGTATTACCTACAATTTGACTAGTAATATTAGCAAATCTCCAGATGTTAGCAACAGTAGTTTGTTTCCCTTGTACATTCTTTATTCATGGTATGACAATGCTGTAACTGGGTGGTCCTTTTTAAACAAATTATTTGCAAAACAGACGGTATTATTTGCTTTTAAAGCTTTTGTAAATAAAGGCTTCAGAAATGTTTTCTTAAAAAAAATCCACATCTTTGTTCTTAGGCACTTTATTATCCCATCAGCACCATTTGTACGAGTTCAACCATTAATAAAAATAACAGCTATCATTGATTCTTAATATACAGCAAATACTAGGTTAGGTATTTTAAATACATTATTGTTTATCATTTTTCACACCAACACTATAAAAAGAGCAGCAATATATTTCATTCTGTGGCTAAAGAAATCAGTAACTAGAAAACTTACCTAAAGGTATGTTAATGAGGCCAAAATGTAGGCACAAGCGTATCTGATTACAAACTTCATGGGCATGAATTAGTTGCATCGGCACTCAAAAGCCCTCAAGATTTCTCTATCTCATAGAAATTCAAGACAAAACTCAGACCCTCAAAAATAGGTTCTCCCCACCAATCTTTACATCTTGCCTACAATTTCTTGATAGGACTTCTACTCCACATGCTTTATCATAATCCTCTTCTTATTTTGATTATATCTCCTACAGTGCTTGTCCGAATTTCAAGCATTCTTCAAAGTCCAGATCAATCTCTTTCTTCTAGCCCACCCCGAGGGGCCCAGTGCACAGCGATTCTTCACCTTCAACATTATAGCTTTTCACTGTGCTCCTGACACAATTAATGTTCTTCTCACTAGGGAAGGGAAATCAGTCCAGTGTACAAGAGTAAAGGAAAGAAAGAGCTTAGTATGTTGGTGGGGGGCACTAGTTTAATGTGCTTGAGATGGAGGTGTGATTTTCATGTTATTCAGTTCTACTCATCCTAGTATTACTTGCTCAGAAAATTCCCTGTCTGACCCCCACTGCCACCCAGAATAGACAAATTCCTCTTTTTCTGTCACACTGTGCTTTCTTCATGGCACTTATCCAGGCTGTAATTAAACATCGTATTTTATTCGTGCTTGGCCCCTCTACTGGACTGCGATATCTGTTTTAGTCACCACTAACTATATCTCCAAGAACCTCAAAGGATGCTTGCTTCACATACAGAACCCCAAAATTTACATGAATCAAGAGGAAAAGCAGAGCAGTAAAACAAGCTGGACAAGAAAAGAACTGGCCAGGGTCAGATTTTGCGTGCTATATTACTGACTTTAACCACTCTTGCCTTCTGGTATTGGTCATACAGCTTAACGTACTGCGTCATGTTATCTCTATTAGAATAAGCTCCTGTCTCAGTTACTCTGCTCTGGTTGCTGGGACAAATACCTGACACCCAAAATAAAGGAAGGAAAGGTTTATTTAGCTCATAGTTAGTGGAGGTTTCAGTCCATACTCTGCTGGCTCCAAGGCTGAGTGGCACAGAGCAGAGTGCAGCTGTTCATGGTTCGGCAAAGAGCAGAGAACAAAAGTGGAGCAGCGGCAACAACGACAGCAGAGAAGTCTGTTTCCCTTAAGTTGCATTCAGGCTATATGCCCTAGGGTGAGTGTAGTACTCATACCCATAATCCCAGCAGTACTGAGACCCATAATTCCAGGCTTGATCATGAATTAATATCAAACTCTAGAAGTCCCCGCTCCATAAGGCTTTGGGGGGACAACCAGACACAAACCATAACAGCTCCCTAGAAACAGTAAGAACAGGGGCTGGCCAAGTAGCTCAGTAGATTAAAGTGCCTGCAAGCAGGTGCAGGGGCTGGAGGTTCAGTCCCTGAGCCTGCTCAATTGCTACTGAGATGGCAATTGAGACTGGGCATGGTGGTGTGAGCCTGTAATCCCAGCTTTCAGGAGGTTGTAAACAGGCAGATCACTATGAGTCCGATCTAGTAGTGAGACCCTGAACACCCTGTAGACCCTCCCGTAAAATACAAAAGAAGAGGAAGAAACAGTAAGAACGAAAAGCATGAAGATGTAAAGACCTAGGTGAACTTTGATCAGGCCTGAGATTACAGTTCTATTGGTCATTATTTAAGTGTTAATACTTCAACAAAATAAATAAGGAGTCTTTTAATTGAGCATAGTGGTATGCACCTCAGCTGCAACACTCTAGTGACTGAGGTGGATGACTTGAACTCAGGAGTTTGAGACTAACAAGCTAAACAAAAATACACTGCTAAATAAGTAAATAAGTAAGTAGATAAATGAATTTATTTTCTAAGTAAAAAAAGAAATCCAGTAAGAACCACCCCTCTCCTTGAATAATCCCTGAAATCTCCATAATCCCTGAAAGACTATCTTGCATATAGTAGGTGTTAAAATACATTAATTAGTTAATTATATGCCCTGGTTATTTTTGGTGCTCTCTTCTAGACTCCATATAGCAAACTGAAAAAGACAAGACATAACACCTGTCTCCCAAGAGCTTTCAGTTTGAGCTGGAGAGAACACCAGACCAGATTGAGGATATTCTTCCAATAATCACAAATGCAGAGGCGTGTCATGGGCACATGTGGAATAGGTCTGACCTAGCTTCCTGGAAAAGGCAGAACGAAGCGCTGCTGTGTTGGGAAGAGGGTAGGTGTGGCCCACCGCTGAGGCCGAGGCGCTCGATTCTCTTCATCAGTGCTCTCCTCACAGTTTTCATCTGTGACCAGGCCACTAAGTGGTGCTTCCGCAGGGCACTGCGGGTGGCAGGTTCCCTGTTAGCTGTTCCCAGCAGCACATATCTTTTTGCTGTCAGCAGAGCGTGTCGGAAGGTGCAGAAAGGTAATGCAAGTCATCAAAAGCCAAGGACGTCTCTGTACACTCAACACAGAAGCCTGAATGCAATGAGTTTATGAGACCAGGATGAGCATGGAGGGGACCTGAGTCCCTAGTGGGGACTCAGAGGAGTCTGCGTGGGGACATAGCATAGCATTTCAGGAACAAACCTCAATGCAGGACAAGAGGAGGAGGGAGCAGTGCCAACTCCAAGCGGACTGATGGTGTGATGAGGAGTCAAGAGGTGCTGCTAATGCATTGCAGGTCACACTAGCAACCTGGAGATTTATGTGGCCACTGTCACCTGACTGCTCTCAATTATGGTAGCCAGGGAGCACAATACCTTTTAAAATTCTTTGATTTTTTTTCCTTTCCTGATAATACACTTTTGGGCTTTACTGATTGATTTTTTTGTCCTCATATTGGCTCCCCTTTGTACTCATGTCTGCAGACTTTTCCCTGCATGCCCATCTTAAATCTTAATTCTTCAGATGTCAGACGTGTACGTGTGTGCACATGTGTGCATCTGGGGATGTGCATGCACTGTAGTATGTGGGCAGGGGCACACAAAGTGGACCTGAGTGTGAGAGAATGCTTCTACAAGTGCACTCCCCATGCCTCCTCTCTGATGTGTGCTCTCTGAGGTTAGGTGCTGTGTCCCAGAACGAGCTTCATTCTTCATGGCTGTACCAATACAGCCAACATCCAAGAGCTGAGATGCATTTGAGGAGAAGACTCTAGAAAGCAAGAGGCCAGCGTTCAGCCTGAGCATCAGACCAGCTCTTCCATGCTCTCAAGCATCTTCTGCTGAAAGGTAAAAGGTAAAAGCTCCCAGGGGGCTCACAGGATGGAAATGGGGCTTGGGCCCCTTCCCTGACCTCCCAGTCCCCTAGAATTCCTCAGCTTCACATCTTTCCTGTCTGTGATCAATGGTAGCCATGGACAGAGCAAGCTCTCTATGACTTTCATTGCTACTTCCCTCTGCCTTCCTCTGCCTCTGACTCCAGTGCACATATTTTCACTCTGAGGCTCCCTGGATCCTGTGATCAGATGGTCCTGAGCGCCTGGACATGATGTGTCCTGCCCACATCTGGGCAGCTATGTGGGATCATCGGGGGCCAAGCCAAGACCGAGCAAGAATTCAGAGTTCATAGACATCATGGAACACGAGGCAGTGAAATTCCTGTGAGAAAAGGTGTCCACAGTGCAGCTGGCTGTAGCTTTATGTCCTTTGTCTCTGCTGTACAATGGCTACTGCAGGCTTGGGATTGAGGCCACCCGCCTGCACTTCTCCAGGGGCAGCCCTTATGGTGTCTAGATGTCTTTTTTTAAAGATTGTTACTCTCTGACATGCCAACAATGGGGGCTTTCACTTCACTTCTCTGCCTAGCTTATCCACAAGCAGATACTTCCACCAGTATCTGGTGGAGTCTGGCATTGTTGCCATGGTTGTGGGCCCATCCAAACACCCAAGAGGACCCCTCCAGACCACAAACCAGCAGTTAAGAGTTACAGCATTCTGAATTAGTCTTTATTATGTTTGCACATAGTAGTTACCAGCCCCTTGCTCCTCCCTAGGTCCTAAGCTGGCAGACAGAGGGCCACAGCAATGCAGAAGGAGAAGAGCAGGCCCATCTTCAATCCTGAAGATTCTGTAGTCAGGAGGAGCGTGTGGAGACAGTGACCACATCTCAGTTGTAGAACAGTCTGAAATAGGCGACACGGTTCCGATGCTTCCTAAACTCTCTGTCTGTGGACAGCTGCAATGAAAGAATATCATGCATCTCAGCATGCTGAACCTCTGCTTCTAGTCTTCTTGGCTGTGCACATTATAACTGTGAGGCCCAGCTAAATCTGGACCCTGTAGTAATGTAGTCTTAGTGATTTTTTCAGTATTAGTGCCCCTCTATCCTGTGTCATTTAGCTGTGGTACATATTATGTTAGGAATTATTGCTACTTGGTAAATGTTCCAGTAGTTGGCAGGCTTTCTGAAGATAAGGATAATATGTTTAATACATTCTTGCTGGCTTGACCCACTGGTGGTACATGTACAATTGTTCCTTCAAGGAGCTTAAACTACTAGTAGGGTCAGCCAATTAACACCAGATTAGAGAATCCAAATCAGAGCCACTGGCAGCAAGATGCACCAATTACAGCCCCATTGTGAATGTGTTAATTATTGATGCTCCCATAGGCCCTACCACAACGCTAATACATTAGGCATCTAATAAACATTTGTGGAACTAACCCTGAATTCCACTAGAAAGAAAGTACCTCACAAATTATGATCACTACTATGGATTAAGTATCTATGTTAAATACTTGTTTATATTATCTCAATTATTAATCCCTACAGTCATGCCATATCATATCAATTCTATTATTATATTGATTTCATAATATAAAATTCAGATTTAGAAAAGTCACAAGTGTTGCCTAAGATCTTAGAGCGAGTCTATACACTGGAGCTAGTGTTCGAACATAGGCCACATTGCCCCTAAGACCCATGCTCTTAGCCAGAGTACTCTATGCTGCTTTCCAGGGGTCTAACACTCAAATGATGAGCCTAGCATCCTAAGATCTCCATTCCAGCCTCACAGTTACACAAATCACTTGGTCCCTCTGGCCTATGTATCTTTTTCTGTCATATAGGGATATTTCTTTTGTGCTTATTCCAAAAGATTGAGACTCAAATAAGAAAATGTGACTTTTGGCCAAACCTATAAAAATGGAATGAATGAAATTACTCAACCCTCCAAAAAATCCTCATATCCACATACACACAAAACTGTATATATAATTTCAAGGGACAACAGACTTCTATAGATTCATTTGTAGACTCTTGGTTACGAACCCTTGATACATATGAAGTCCAATTCATTACCTCAGCTTTTAAGGTTCTTTTCTGCAGACATGGAACCTGAGTCCAGTCTGGAGATCCAAATTTCATTGGCCAAGCAACTTTTGGGGGTGCCTTCTTCTCTGGGTTGTAAGCACCAGGGCTAGAAATGAATATACAAATGTCACTCTTAATGAATTAGTAACCATATAGGAACTTCACTGGCAGAAATTATGAACTAAGCCTAACCCTTGGGAACAGATTGATACACTCTTCAGTGTCAGGCAAGCATGGGGTTCATGCCTGTTAATGTAGGCCTAATTAGATGTAAGCATTAAAAGTAGCTAATCTTGACACCCAGAAAAAGACCATCCCTAGCTCAAAACATATTTCTGCAATTCAGTGTCCTCATCTGAGAAATAAGAAGAGCCCAGAAGAGACTGGTTATGAAAGCTTTCTACAACACTAGTAAGTGTACTGCTCATAATTTGAAGTTGGTGATTGAAGTGAAGAAACAATATATTTAAAATGCAGGGAAAGCAAAAACAGATCAAGTTAAATTTTCTTGATAACAGATTATTTTAGAATTGTCTTTGTTCATAACACTTTGTCTTTTGCTGTAACTCTACTGTGGGAGAAAGAAGAGAGCGGATATAGAGTTCAAGAAATAATATTTAAACTTCCTCAATACAAGCTGTGAAAAAGCTATATTCACCCACCAATCTCTGGATTTCTCATGAGAAGAAAAACCATGACCATTTGCCCTACAATTTCATAGACTCTGAATGATTTCACGAAGCACTGAGAGTCTTTAATAAGTCCTCTATACTCTAGCCCACCTTTCTTCTCACGTCTCATTTTCCCCTTGATCACTCTATTCTAGCCACATTAGCCTCCTCTCTTTCTTTTCCACATCAAATTCCTTCCCAACTTACCGTCTTTGCATTTGCTTTTCCTTTTATCGGGATGCTTTGTTTCCCATTCTTTGCAGGGCAGGCTGAGTGTTGTCATTCAGATCTCAGATCAAGGATTAATTTTTCTTGAAAACCCAGGTGAGAAAGCCTCCCACCCATTAATCTATTATATCATTACACTGTTTTATTTTATTCCTAATTCCTACTCAGGTTATCATACTTCCTTGTTTTCCTATGACAGTCCTAGCTTATTTATGGCTACTGTCCTGATCTAATTACTACTAGGCCTCTTTGACTCTCAGAAGTGTCACAGTTTGACTGATAAATTATAAAGCTTCTCTGTTTATTACTATTGGCATTTTCTTGTGTATTTGCTTCTTATCTGTATGGACTTTAGAATGTAAGCTCCAAGAAACTGGGAGCCTGTGCGATGAGTTACTACACGACTTCTGGGATCTATCAAACTGTCTGGCGCATTAACAAATAATTATTGAATGAATAATTGTGAATCCACAATACAAAATACCAGAGACCTGCGAGTCAAAAGGCTAGACTTCTGAAGACGGACGGTTTCTTATTTAGCTGGGACAGTTTGGGTGTAATCAGTGCTTTATGTGCTTCCTTTCACTGAAGTATACCAAGAAACAGGAGACGTACCCAGGATAAGAAGAAATGTCCTTTGAACATTTTCCAGATCGAGGTAGCAAGACATTAAATGGAACAAAATTTTGTTTGTGTTTTTCCTCCGAAGTAGTTACCCTCTGGTACTTGCCTGGGTAAGGTGTCACATCCTATTGCCAAGAAAAAGATCAGTGTATTAGAGGAATGCGCCTTACACATACAAATTGTATATACATATATCCTATATATACACAAAAAAAGCCTTCCAGAGTAAAAAACAAAAAAACAAAAAAACAAAAACCAACACCCTCTGCCTGTTTAAAAAAAAAAATAGCTATGGCTTGGCCATTTTGAGATGTACAAACAGGCTCAAGTAGGTAGAAAACCAAGCCATGGATGTTGTTTGGCTGTCTAAGGATACGTAATGCTCCAGGATGGGCAGAGAATCAAGGCAACCACCGTGTCTACCAGCCTCTGAGAGAGCCAGCATTCCTAGTCCCTGGATTCACATGTCAGGAGGCATCCAACAGAGATTAGGACCTTTGGTTGGCTGTGTAGCTCAGAGGGTGAGCACTTGTCTGGCCTTCCAGGCCCTGCATTCAATACTGAGGACAGTGGTGAGCCAGGGGGAGATTAGGATCCTGTGCTAAATGTTGGACTTGAAGTCCAATCACGCAAAAGGACGGAAGCATTGGAATTTATTTTTTAACAGGATAATACGATGTGTATGAACATAGCTTCCGATATTGTAACCTTAGGCATCTCAGCACCAGTAACCCTGCCTTGGGACCGTTTCTTCAGTAAATTGCTTTTTTTGCTTTCACACAAATGCAATACTAATGTTTGAGCTCTTCATGCAGCAACCCCAGGCACCCTAAATCGCAGTACATTACCTTACTGAGTGGCTTAAACCTCGCAGCAGTTCTGGCTCCAAGGGCATACCCTTTTGTACTTGTCGGAATCTTAGACAGCTTGTAGGCCAGCCCATTCTACTTTCAGTGGTATCAAACAAAACAAAACAAAAACAAAAACAAAAACAAAACAAAACAAAAAAAAAAAAAAAAAAAAAAAAAAAAAAGGGGGGGGGGGGGGAAGGAAAAGCACCAGTAACACGGTTAGGGAACAGTCTTCAAAACGGAGTGAACTTAGAATGTTTCCATTTAAACTTTCTGCGTTTTTTTTTTTTTTTTTTTTTCCCTTGCTTTGCCTACTTCAAGGTCAGAACCGTACACACAATACTTAGGTAAAGCTCGTAACTTCGCAGAAGGATGTGGGTAGATCGACAGAATAAACGAGATTTCTATAAATCCAACTTGATTTCCACAAAAGTGAACTTGCTTACACACCCGTCAGCCGGAGGATGGGACAGATGGGCGGGAACCTGGCCAGGATGACAGGCGTTGGAGTTGGGGATAAAGGGGATCTACAGGGAATCCAGGCTCTGCTTAGCGAGGGTGGCAAGATGGAGCCCTTGTCTTTGGGTCTCCGTGTCACCTCCAACAGCTGGCTGCCTGCCCGGAATGGCTCAACAATCCTCCAGATTTTCTTCCAGGAAACTTGCGCATCTTTCCCTATCCAAGGAAATGAGACCCACCAAAGGGGAGGGCCATACTCACATCCTCTGCTATGTAACGCCCAGGGCCTACGTCAGGCGATCCTCTAAGGGGAAGGAAGCAATTCCCCAACTGGTTTGGAGGGTGGTACAGAGGAAAGAGCTTCCGCTGTTGACGCGATCCGAAGGAGTAGACATCCACACCTCCTAAAGGTCACGAAAGAGGAGAAACTGCGGATGAGGGAAGGCGTCGCTGTCCCTGCCAACGAATTCCGCGTGCTCAGAGGACAAAGAAGGGCAGAGGACTGGACCAACAGTACTCTCACAAAAGCTGGGCAGGGCTCTGCGGAGGGGTCGAGGCGTCCTCCCTCCCTCTCCGCCTTTCCCAGGCTGCCCTCCCTTCGCCCTTCCTCTCGTCCCGGCTCCTCGGCGGCCCTTCTCACCCGCTTTGTTGAAGCACATCGTGCGCGCAGTTAGAGCTCGCACTAGTGTACTTCGTTGCCAAGGGAACGGAGGCGGGACCCAGCGAGCCCCAAACGGCGACCTCTGGGCGGGATCGCCCGGAGCGTTTCTGCGCAGCTGGGGGTGGGATGGGGGTGGGGGTGGGGGTG